AAGAAATGATGTCGAATAAAAAATGGTTTCATATGCTTGAAAGAGTTGTGTCTCGCATCCTTTTTTCACGATTGAACTTCTTTTACAAAGATGGCGGTATTGTAAACCATGTAAACTAATGCAGGTGATTTTTTTGAACGAGATTTAATTAGCAGAATTCTCGAATAATCTTACGAATCCAATGATAATAATAAAAAAGTCGGTGTCAAACGCCATTTAATTCGGTAATAACAGCGGTTAACAACTACATAGAAGCTTATATAAGCATTAGATGTGTTCTGTTCATGATTCCAAGGGAAATATTTCAGTAAGGAAAACTTTATTTTGTGACCATAACGCCTTTTCATAAAATTTGATTGACAGAATTATTGATCCTTTGCATACTTAAAATGTAGTGTTGAAAAAAAATAATCAATAGTGGAGCACACATGACATCAACTGAAGCTGAAAAAATTAGACTTCCGATATCACCAAAACAAAGAAAACTATCATTGGATGTGTTGTGATCTTATGTGCTGATTATAATGATACGCATATTAAAACACACGAGTGAGTGTTTTGCCAATAACTTTTGATAAAAACAAGATAAATCCCTGTGGTTTTCACCATTCGAGAGAGTAGATGAAGGGTGTCAATCGACCTTTTTAAGAATAAACCTGTGTAGTGAGTTGTTTATAGTGAATTTTTAGTTATCAAGTATAAATTTAAACCACTAATCGAAGATCTACAAAGTGCGGAAGATTGAGATGCATAAGATGAAGTGTAGTCGAGTCTCTAATACAGTTTTCTAGTAAAGTCTGTGAAAAACGCTCACTTTTACGCTTTTTTCCTTTTATCGTAAGAAAAACATTTTTGCAACAGTTAGAAAATTGAATCACAATTCGAGCGGTGAACACCGCACTTTTCGATGATGTATCTATCAAAAGTTATTCAAAGAATACCCAATAGCAGATCATGTAACTATGCCACATGCAAACAAAATATATCTTATCAAAATCTTATTATTATGATATTAGTTAAAGTATGATCAAATAGCATAGAAAAATAGAGCATTCTTTTCTTTATCAGACTATATACAGAGAAAGTCGCTTTAAACTTTTTATAAGAAATAAAAGTATTACTGTGACTACTTTTGGATTGCCCTAAGTAGATGCATTACTAGAAGCAATCTTTAACGGTAACCACGAACTTGATATTTGTTTCAAAATGCAAAATCTGAATTCCAGGGTCGAAAATTAGGTTTTATATTTCTCAAAAAATCTGTTTTGAATTTCTGAACTAATTATTCTTTAACATGCTGAATGACATATATCATCCGATGCAGAATTTAACTTTCTACAAGACAGCCTATTTGTTTTCCATTTACGTCACTGAATACAACTTATACATTGTTGTACAGTTAATGAGATACATATATGAATATAGAAGCTTGAGTGTTGCATAGAATGATTAGATATATAGCAAAGATCAATATTAACGAAAAATTAAATATTTCTAACCACTTAATGTGTCTTCAACTTGGTCGAAAAATAACTGCGTAACACCGTTACGTCTGTTTTTTTTGCAATTTTATCAAACAAGAGAACATCCTCACGTGGTAAGCTACTTTTGAGCTGAAATTTGATATATAACCAGGATACCTCTAGATTAAAAAAATCCTAAGAAGATATGAACGTAAATTGTGATTTGGGTGTGGATGTGTGCATATGGATAAAGGGAAGACAAGCAGCCATAGTCACATCTTCACCTATATCCATACACCCACTCATACTCACACCCACACCCACACTCTAGTCTAGAGGTGTGCTATGAAAGGTTATAAAGAAGTGTAAAACGGAATAACGGGCAAGTTCACACCGTCATCTTCACAATTTAGAAATGGTGAGATCATAGCGAACCTTTTAGGATAGTGGTGATTTACTCTAGATGACATTAGTGCCTATATAAACTCTTCTCGTGGGTGTATTTGGTAGATCATCATGATTCACTATGATCATCAGAGGGTAATTTTACGATCTCAAATGCGATGTTTTTCATTGCCGATCGAGTGCTGCCTTTTCTCCGGCGCGTTAGACAGAAATACGAATAGGAAAACAGAATTATTTTGCATACAGCACACTTTTCAATGTTTGACAGCTAGTCCTGTTTTATTTAAATCATGAAGTTATTTCCATCCTTTTGAGCAGTGAGCGAAGTTTAGACGGTCTCAAAGCTGTATCAACATCAGTGGTGTTCTTTTTGCATTGATATGGTTCGAAATCTTCATAGTCTGGTAGTTTCGGAAGATCAGCAAAGTCTATGTTACCATCATTATCATAAATAAGAAGTTTCGAAGTCGAATTGTAGAAAGTTTGCCAATCAGCAATGGATTGTCTTGTCCATTGACGATCTGTTAACCATTTGACAATGCTATTGTAATCCAAAGGTCTACAAAACAGAAACATATCATTCAGACAGATAAACGAAAGCTTCACTGACATTGAATCATTTGTCACTCGTCCCCATGCTTCCATCGAATTGGCCATCCAACAAAAGTGCAAATTATTCATACGTGGATAGTAAGTAAACATGTGTAAACACATTTCGTCGCTCGTTGCTTCTCCACCCTAGATTATTATTGTGCCTAGTTTTAGAAAATTTCATGAACAATCACTCACCAAAGTGACGACACTCTTGTTAGTTGTACTGTAAATACATCGCGTTGCTAATTCATCACCCTAAAATTATCTTCATTGTCGAATGACTGAGACAAGGTTAGATAATACAAACCGGATACAATGTAATAGGTTGAGGTAAACGATTTTGGAATTGATAATTGAAAGTATAGGCATCACCATTGAACAGATATTGAACTGCTTTCTTATTTCGAATGATCTTTGTCCAGACACTGCGTCCTAGAAGCGAGAATGCTGTCTCTTGTAAAAGAATTACCCGTTTTCAGGTACCTTGAAGATGAGTGTGTGGAAATGCTGCAACCACAGTAATTCCCGTCGGTGGAATATTCTATCCATAGAAGGAATCAAATTGAGTTGAATCACATCATAAATTACTCACTTGCATGGCCAGAGCAGGACAATAAGAATCGATGACTAAACGATCATCATATGGTGGAATGGCAATAGCAGTGGCGCCTGAAATTTGACCCAATGTCATATAACCGATATCATACTGGCGAAGTTCATTGCCGAGATAGAATCGCATACCAGAACTATCCGTGCGATCTAATTCATTAGACAATCTTATTTTTTTCAATCTCAATTAGATCCATTACTTTACTTGACATTTGATGTATGTTGTTAAAGTGCATTTGAATTACATAATATTGAATTTCAAAATCACCTCCAACAGGATATCCAGCCACTTCAGGAAATTCATTGATCTATTATCAAAAGAACATTCTTTGTTTCACTAAGAAATCTTTTCTTTCGATTCGAAACTGACATAATCTCCACCAACAGCCCATCCGGTGGCGATTCTCGATGTGCAAGGCATAAGAACTTCGCCAAGGTCATCACATATACCAGAGGGCAAATTCTCATCATCGAAGACAGCTGATGGATCACATTCATACATCAACATATGATGAACAATATCGATATTGGCTGGATCAATGATGGCTTTATGCTAAGATACAACACGATTTAGACATCGAGTGAGATGAAAGGATCGATCTTTCTTACAGCAATGGCATGTCTTCGTTTAGGAAATTTAGCCGGCACTTTGTAGACTGTACAGTGATAGGTTGTCTTGTTCGATGGTACTGAATACTGAAAAACATCAATGCGAAACATTGCTACGATCGCCTTCAGGGTAAATGATATGACTTACATTGTGCAATTGAAAATCGAAATAGTCGAGGCCAGTGAATTTGCTCTCTGATGGTGGATTTGCATATGATTGTAATGGAATCGCTCGAGTATATCGACGATCGCCATGATACTTTATCGTCGCTTTTCCATCAATTATAACAGGATCTTCGAGACTGTAGGCATAGATCACAATGTTAGTTCCGGACTATACAATACAAAGTTTATCTTCGACATGTATTAAAAGAGGCATACTTTAATTGGATAATCCATAACATCACAGGTATCTAAGAGTCGTTTGAATTGAATGGCTGTCCATCCGTTCACTTCGCGACCTTGCAGTCCAAACCAATCTTGTGTCGTATTATCCACCATCGGTTGATAAAAGCCGTATGCATATCTATCCTATAGATCAAGTGATGAATAAGAGAATAAAAGAAGAAGAATGCCTACTTCAAAATGCAGTTGACCCGATTGATCGATCCATCCCAAGCCGATATCAGCACCAACCATACCACCAGCTATGTATGAGAGATGAGAGAGATCAGGGTGGGAATGCAGATGATCATACCTGGACTTATACCAAGTGCAATCCAACCAGTTGTATTGATGTGAAATTCAAAAATGATCTCCTTTCGAAGATCGTCGATCGACCACCAGAGATCAGCAAGATTAGGTTGTAGTTCCGTGGCATAGGTGTAATTGGTGTATGGTGGAATGGGACTGCTGATAGCATCGAGATGCTGTACAAGACCCGTCGATAAAATGACAAAAGAAAGAAAAGAAAACCACATGAATGTGTGCATATGTTTTAGTTGCACAATAATGTCGACGTTTGCGTTTATATACTAGCAAAGATGCAGTATAAAAATAAATGGATGATTTCAAAAATATTTGTTTTTATGATGCTATGGAAAAAATAACCAATGGGCTTTCGTTCTTTTTTCACTTTTTTCACGAGTTGGGTTGCTGAGAGTTTGCTTGAATGAGTAATGCTGCGTTGCATCATGGACTGATATGAAAATCTCTTATCTATTTTCATGATTACTCATCGGGTGAGTGTGAAAGTCGCATCATCACATACGTCGTGTAAATATTATTTTGCAAAATCAGCTCTAATGTTAGATTCTGTGTGTCATCTAGGTAGCAGCGTTATCTGTGTAACATTTTTCAGGCTTAAAACAGAGTGAAAGTTAAAGATGATAAGAATGATTCACAATATGTGTCTTAAGTCACGTTTATCATCATGTTTGAGCACCACAGACAAAGTCTGTTGGAGATGAATTTAGTAGGATAGTATGTATCGGCGCAGAAGTTCAGTTCACTTTTTGTCCATCGTAAACTGGTGGTTTTGGGCCACTGGGCAGTTCTACGTATTATTTCTCGACATCAAGATTGATTCGTTCCTGTTCGCGTTTTTTGTGTGCCATATCACTCAGAACCATTTCTTTTCGTAGTGGAGCATATATGTAATACTTGAAACTTGAATTCAAGTATTCAAGTATTCAACTATTCAAGTATTCAAGTATTCAACTATTCAACTATACAAGTATTCAAGTATTCAAGTATTCAAGTATTCAACTATTCAACTATTCAACTATACAAGTATTGAAGTATTCAACTATTCAACTATACAAGTATTCAAGTATTCAAGTATTCAAGTATTCAACTATTCACGTATTCACGTATTCAAGTATTCAAGTATTCAAGTATTCAAGTATTCAAGTATTCA